GTGAATCAAAATAAAGCTGGGGTTTGAGCCCAGATCTCCTCCCAGGCCAGTTCTTCCCCTTTATCAGTGCTCCCAAATTTCATCCATTCACACCTTCCTGAATTCCACCGTAGCTGAATTTACTTAATTTCACATAGCATATTACTGAAAAATAAGTCTTTTTGTATAACTTAAATGAATAGTTAGAGTAAACGTAGTTTAAAATAAATCTGATCAGTACCATAAGTGAAAAACTAGTATCATTTGCCTTTATTCAGATAATTTTGAAATTAAATATAATAAACAAAACAATGTTATAAAACTCTAGCTGGCAGTGTCTGTGAATAGAGCTCTGGCCGAGACCTCGTGGTTGCAGGGGAATTTAGCAGCAGTGTGAGGAGTGTGACTGACAGTCTGGAGACAAACTGAGCCACGCTCCTTGATGTTTTCCCAAGGGAAGGAAGGAAGTTGAAAAGTGGGTCATGAGGTGGGAACACTGGCTGACCTGTCCCCAGACTCTTCCCATACTGGGCCAGGCCACAAAACCTCTCCTGGCATCCACACCCTCCTGCGACCTCCTCCTATCTGGTGACTGCACCTTAAGGCACAGGGCAACCCTGGGAGCCTCTGACTGAAGACGATGGAGCCTCTACCAACGCCGGTCCCTAATTTCCCAGGGAAAGGAGCAGACCCCAATCCTGGCTTCATCTGGACTACACGGAAGCCACACATTCACTTCTTTGTGCTCAGCCTCTGGAATTTCAGGGTTTATTTGTCATGTCAGCTAGCATCGCTGGAACCAACACAGACCTATTTCCCCCTATTCCAATTAAAAGCATATCTGGAGAAGAAGCAGGCAAAGGACGTACTTCCACCTCTGCGACTTGTGCTTGCCCCCATGACCTGAGCCCTCACTGTGTCGGGCCTTCCGAAGGCAGGGCCACCCCCAACATCTTTGGTCAGCCAGATGTTGGACAAAGCCTGATGCTGATGGGGGAGGGCGGGGTCTGTGTGGGAAGCCCCTGCCTGAGCAGCCTCTGACAGCCTCAGTCCCCAGGGAGTCTCCTAACCTTCTTGGGCTCCGTCATATTGGCCGCATGGATGGTGTAGACGCCACTGGCACTGGCCCCAAAGTTCCGGATCTCCACACAGTCCTGGAACACCTGCTCAGCTGCCCTCACAGGGGCTGCAATGGGCAAAGCAAAAGTCAGTCGGAGGTGAGCAAGGAGAGACGGAAGGGACCAGGTGGGCACGCCTGCCTGTTCTGTGCCAGGTTCTGGGTTAAGAGGTGCTGGGGACATGGAGACGAATCAGACCTGGGTCGGTTTCCTAGAAGAGGTGACAGAGAGCTGAGACCTCTACAGTGGGCAAGAGTTGTCCAGGTGGAGGAGGCGAGGGTGTTGCAGGCAGAGGGAACAGCATATGCAAAGGCTCTAAAGTGAAGACATTCGTGGTGTGTGCAGGGGACGGATTGTGGGAGGGGAACCAAGGCTGGGCCAGGGAGAGAAAATGACTCAAAGCGTGAGAGCCGAGCCAAGGCCAGAGAGAGCTGTGGCTGTTTGATGAAACCGAGAGGGTAGGACGAGGTTGGCACAGTGAGGGCCCGGAAGGAAGAGGAGACGAGGCTGAGATTCCAGCAGGGCCAGGTGAGCCTTGAGTGCCAGGCTGAGGAGGCGGGACTGTCTGTGCTGAGGACGAGCACTCTGGCCAGCGTGCGGGGCAGGGAGTAGATATAAAGAGTGTGGGGAGGGATGTGATCCAACGCAGGGAGGAAAGAGACCAGGCTGCTAGGCTCTCTCGGGAGAGGGTTATTGCGGGTGAACTCCATGTGAGTTACTCCCTCTTTCAGAGACCCAGACACTGAGGTCCAGGAGTGAGGTAACTGGTCCAAATCACACACCAGATGGGGCAGAGACTTCCCTCCTTTGAGGTCCTTTGGGTAGATGCCCTGTGGTCCTCTCCATAGCCCACCCTTTCAGGACTTCCCTGCAGCTCTGGGCATGGTGCCCTCATTCTGCCTTCCCTGGGAGCCAACTGGCCTTAAATGGGCCTGTGTTCTTTGTTCTGGAGGGCACAAGATGAGGAGAGTATTAATTTAATGACCAAAGCCCACCAGGGTCCTAGGGTCCTCCAGGCCTGGCCTGGAAAAAGTGGTGTTGACAAACTGCATGGATGTAAATTCCCATCTCTGGCTTGTTTAGTGGAATCCAAGTAGAGGTTTGGGTCATGATTTCACCAGAATCCAATCTCTCTGGGTCGGCTGGTAGGTACCGAAGGATGGAGGTTAACAGTCCAGGTGGATGGGCGTCATCTCCAGTGAGGGATCAGGGGGCAAAGAGAGGCTGAGACTTTCTGTTTTGGCCTCACACCTGAACTGTGGATCCCAGATGCTGGAACTGGGGCACCTGTGTGAAGGAGGCTGTCATTCCTATTTCACAAGTGAGGTGACTAAGCCGCTGAGTCCCTCTCAGCCTGGCATAACCACATCTGTGGGGGAAGTGTCCCACCGTCACTGCCCCACCTGTCAGCACACCCAGGCTCCCCACGGTCCATGAGCAGCTGGAGTCCAGACAAGCAGGGGAAGTTGCTGGGCTAGAGATGAGCAGAGAAGGGCCACACTTTACCCGGTGAGGCAGGGGCAGGGCTGGGAGTTAGCCTGAGATTTCCAGCCACCCTTTCCAAGGCGCTGTCCTCTGTTGTCAACAACAACAGTAACAGTAAAAGAAAAACACCCACTTCTTATTGTAGTGTTTGTAGGTGCCAGGTACTGTGAGGGGCAGTCTGGGGCCAGAAGAAATATTTTGGGGGCCATAAGTATAGGATGGACTGGTATTGATATGCAATGCAGTTTGACCCCAGCCTGGTTCCCTCTGAATCCCTTGCCTGGTAATTTGTACCAGTTTTGTCCCCTTTTGGCCAGCAGCAGTTAAGAAGCCCCTTCTTGGGTCTTTCTCACTTAGCCATTCTCCAATCCAGGGTACCAATGGGAGCTTCCTAAAAGCAGTCCCCCCTTTCACAAGCCTCCCATGCCCCCCACTGGCCTCTGCTTAAAGGCCCCTCTACTTAGCACAGCCTTTAGGCCTTTCTTGGCCTGGAAACTTCAGGGACACTNAGAGAGCTGAGACCTCTACAGTGGGCAAGAGTTGTCCAGGTGGAGGAGGCGAGGGTGTTGCAGGCAGAGGGAACAGCATATGCAAAGGCTCTAAAGTGAAGACATTCGTGGTGTGTGCAGGGGACGGATTGTGGGAGGGGAACCAAGGCTGGGCCAGGGAGAGAAAATGACTCAAAGCGTGAGAGCCGAGCCAAGGCCAGAGAGAGCTGTGGCTGTTTGATGAAACCGAGAGGGGGCTGTTTGATGAAACCAAGAGGTTAGGACGAGGCTGGCACAGAGAGGGCCTGGAAGGAAGAGGAGACGAGGCTGAGATTCCAGCAGGGCCAGGTGAGCCTTGAGCGCCAGGCTGAGGAGCCGGGACTGTCTGTGCTGAGGACGAGCACTCTGGCCAGCGTGCGGGGCAGGGAGTAGATATAAAGAGTGTGGGGAGGGATGTGATCCAACGCAGGGAGGAAAGAGACCAGGCTGCTAGGCTCTCTCGGGAGAGGGTTATTGCGGGTGAACTCCATGTGAGTTACTCCCTCTTTCAGAGACCCAGACACTGAGGTCCAGGAGTGAGGTAACTGGTCCAAATCACACACCAGATGGGGCAGAGACTTCCCTACTTTGAGCTCCTTTGGGTAGATGCCCTGGGATCCTCTCCATAGCCCACCCTTTCAGGACTTCCCTGCAGCTCTGGGCATGGTGCCCTCATTCTGCCTTCCCTGGGAGCCAACTGGCCTTAAATGGGCCTGTGTTCTTTGTTCTGGAGGGCACAAGATGAGGAGAGTATTAATTTAATGACTAAAACCCACCAGCGTCCTAGGGTCCTCCAGGCCTGGCCTGGAAAAAGTGGTGTTGACAAACTGCATGGATGTAAAATCCCATCTCTGGCTTGTTTAGTGGAATCCAAGTAGAGGTTTGGGTCATGATTTCACCAGAATCCAATCTCTCTGGGTCGGCTGGTAGGTACCGAAGGATGGAGGTTAACAGTCCAGGTGGATGGGCGTCATCTCCAGTGAGGGATCAGGGGGCAAAGAGAGGCTGAGACTTTCTGTTTTGGCCTCACACCTGAACTGTGGATCCCAGATGCTGGAACTGGGGCACCTGTGTGAAGGAGGCTGTCGTTCCTATTTCACAAGTGAGGTGACTAAGCCGCTGAGTCCCTCTCAGCCTGGCATAACCACATCTGTGGGGGAAGTGTCCCACCGTCACTGCCCCACCTGTCAGCACACCCAGGCTCCCCACGGTCCATGAGCAGCTGGAGTCCAGACAAGCAGGGGAAGTTGCTGGGCTAGAGATGAGCAGAGAAGGGCCACACTTTACCCGGTGAGGCAGGGGCAGGGCTGGGAGTTAGCCTGAGATTTCCAGCCACCCTTTCCAAGGCGCTGTCCTCTGTTGTCAACAACAACAGTAACAGTAAAAGAAAAACACCCACTTCTTATTGTAGTGTTTGTAGGTGCCAGGTACTGTGAGGGGCAGTCTGGGGCCAGAAGAAATATTTTGGGGGCCATAAGTATAGGATGGACTGGTATTGATATGCAATGCAGTTTGACCCCAGCCTGGTTCCCTCTGAATCCCTTGCCTGGTAATTTGTACCAGTTTTGTCCCCTTTTGGCCAGCAGCAGTTAAGAAGCCCCTTCTTGGGTCTTTCTCACTTAGCCATTTTCCAACCGAGGGTTCCAATGGCAACTTCCTAAAAGCAGTCCCCCCTTTCACAAGCCTCCCATGCCCCCCACTGGCCTCTGCTTAAAGGCCCCTCTACTTAGCACAGCCTTTAGGCCTTTCATGGTCTGGAAACATCGGCGACACCACTAGCAGAGCCGCTGGCACATAGCAGGCACTCCAGGAATACCTATTTCCTTCTCTTTCCTTCTGGGTTCCACAGACACAGGGGGATGGGCATTTTTGGAAGTGGCAGGAGCCATGACTATGCTATTCACTGTGGTATCCCCAGCAGCCAGCACTGAGCCTGGCACACCCAGGGTGCTCGGTAACATTTGTTGACTGAGTGTTTGAAGCTGGAACCAGGAATACCCTGAGCACGCCACGTGGGTCCCACTAGAAGTCAGTGAGGGCCAAGGAGCAGCTGGAAGCCAGGGCCAGTGATGCCTCCTCGCTTCTGTTTGTCCCTCTTGGATCTTGGGGCAGGGCATTAAGTTTACAGAAATCCTCGGATTATATCAGGTCTATTCTGTAGCTAGGGAAACTGAGGCCCAGGGAGAGGTAGGGCAAACCCAAGCAAGGGCTGGACGGTGAATCTCGGAACCCAAACTTATCAGTCTGGGCTGCTTTTGTCCTTGTTATCATCATCACCTCCATTAACCAGATGGGGAAACTGAGGCCTGAGAGGCACAGGGGCATGCCCAAGGTCACCCATGGAGTCAGGGGGCAGAGTTTGTATTGGCTCCACTTAGGAGTGTTTATTGTTGTTTCCCTTATTATTACTATTTTTTTGCTATTTCTATTTTGCAGATGGTCAGAGACAGCGTCTGTCACCACGATAAGTCCTAGTTCCAGAGTGAACAGGAAGGGTAACGAGGGTCTCTGTCCCCTATCCACCCTCCCTCCCCTTTCCCCTGTGTCAGAGCTCACGGGAATCTCTCACCTGAGCCTTGCGCTGAGAGGCCCACCAGGCCCTGTAAGGACTTCAGCAGCTGGAGGTGCCAGGTGTGCAGGAGACTGGTATTGCTGAGGTAGACACGCAGGGTGTGCTCCAGGACGGACGGGGTGCCATTTTGGAGGCTCAGTAGGTGCTGCAGCTGCTCCTTCTGGATGCGGAGGCTGTCCAGCTCGGCCTGATGCTGCTTCTTCAGGGCCTGCAATCCTGTCTCTAAGTCACTGTGGGGCGGGAGTGCACAGGGGTGAGCCTGCCTTCCCTGCCAAGCATTCACCCTCACGGCCTTCCCCTGCGCCCTTGCATGACACAGCAGTAGAGACCCATGTGGAGGCTCAGGGAGACAGAACGCTGTGCCTGGGCTTATGTAGCCTAGTACTCTGAGCCCACTGTAGACCCAGATTGAGGAGGGGAGGCAAGAGAGCCCCGGCCCTGGAGGAACATGGATTGGGGTCCAGTAGAGGAAAGATGCTGAGTGATGGGAGCCATGCAGCAACCAGGTAGCCATTATCAAATGCCAAATTTGCTCGTCCTTTGAGCCAGCGGTCCACTCTCAGGAGATATCCTCCATGGAACATGGGAAAGAACGCCCTTGGGGGATCACTTGTAACAGGGATGAGCAGAGTAACCTAGACGCCCAACAGTCGGGACGGGCTGAATCTGTTCTGTTTTGGGGTCCCTGGAAATGTTCTGCAGCCACAAAGTGGAAGGAGGTGGAGCGCATTTGCACAGAAGGGGAAAGATGCCCATGAGTCGGGGTGGAACGACCCTGGCACAGCAATGCCTCTCGGCTAACCTCACAAGTGGGAAGATAAAAAAGAGAGACGCTAAGGTCAAGGGTTCGGATCCCCTTATCAACAAGCTGAGGGGGAAGAACAGAGAGCGAGAGAGAAAATGTAATCATGTAAACGTAGAGAGACACCAGTGAGCACATAGGAGAAGGCGTGGCCAACACGTGGAAAGGCCACAGGGTGCCCGTGTTTGAAGCAATGTGACCGCAGGCCCACTAGGAGCTGGGACCTCTGCAGAGCAGTCGCATGGATGGAGAAGGAGAGGAGGGAGATGTGGGGGTGGAGGGGGCTACGTCCACTTTTCTTGTGTACAGTTCTCTGCTGTCTGGTGACTTAAGCATGAGGCACTTTTGTACAAAAGAGGAGGTCTAAGAAGGATGTTTTGACGTTTCCCCTTTTGGCATTTTATTCTCCAGATTTACTCACATGTGTGTGAAGTGAGATATGGAAATGCTGTTCGCTGCATCACTGGCTGGATTAGAGAAAGACTGGAAACAACCTCAACATCCGTTAATTGGGGATTGGGGACACAAGTGCGGGGATAGCCGGACAGTGGAACGTTACGAAGCTGGAGAAGAGAACGGGCAAGCCGTTGTGCAGTTATACAAGGACCACTTCCAAGACACCTGAAGAAAAACTGAGTAGAAGAGCGGTGTGCTGCATTCGGGTTTAACGAGGATAAAGGGGGACGCATAGATGCTCCTCAACTTCCGGTGGGCTACACACCGATAAACCATCAGACACTGAAAGTGGATGGAACACACTCGGCCTACCCAGCACCTTAGCTCGGCCTGGCCTGCCTGAAACACGCTCTGCCACTTCCATCAGCCTGTGGCTGGGCAGAGTCATCATCACAAAACCTGTTTTATAATAGGGGTTGAATATCTCATGTCCTGTAGTCAGTGCTGTACAGACAGTGAAAAACAGAATGGTCGTTTGCGTAATGGAGGTTCGGTTTCTGCTAAACACGCATCGCTGCTGCACTGTCGTAACGTTGAGAAATCCTATGTTGAACCATCGTAAGTGGGGCCGTCTGTATACATGTGTTTGCATGTTCGTATGAAACCCTGGAATGTCAGTGTGTAGCACAGAAGCTGTGCAAGGACAGGGACGTGTCCGTTTGTTCACTTCTGTGTCCCCAGTGTCTGTAATCGTGCTGACACGTGGAAAGAGCTCAGAAATAAGTGTTAAGAGAATGAGTGGAGGACACAGAAGGAACTAGGAACAGTGGCTCCCTCTGGCTTTGGTGGGTTGGTGAGGGACAGTGGAACATTGAGAGGGACAGGGCTGGAGGGACAGGGCTGAGGGACAGGGCTGGAAGGAGACGCTTTACTCTGTGTCTGGTTGTGCCAACTCATTCTCCAGAGTGAGAAAATG